CTTCCACTGCCATGCTGGCAGTTCCACCCATCCAGTTCTGGTCAGGTGCAGAGGTGGAAAGACAAAGAATGACCTTGGGCTTCTAGAAAGGAATTTTATTTTGACAACATCACATTCTACTCCTTATTATTCCCCCTCCCACTAATAAAACAGCAGAGTAAAATAAGAGAGAATGTGGCAGGCCAAAGATCCAGAAAGGAATATGACTGCAGGCCCGACAGACCTTGGGAAATAGGAGTGAGAGTCACAAAAAGCACAACCAGCATACAAAAGATATCTCATTCCACAGAAAAGGAGGGAGCATGAGAAACGTTTGGAAAAAAAAGTCCCTCCCTAGTTTTCCAAAAAGTAAAAGAAGGGAAAGGGAGAAAGGTTATCAGCCTTGCCAGATTCTGTTAAAGTAACTTTACAATAAAATTAATATTCATAATTATGCTTCTTTTTGTCCTGCTTACCAGGAGACTATAAATCTTATTTTTATATACATATACTTTGTGATTTATAGCCTATCTAGCAACAATAGAAAGTACGGGTAGTCCTCAGCTTGCAATCGTTCATTTAGTGACTGTTCAAAGTTATAACGACACTGAAAAAAGTGCTTAGGAGAGTTTTTCACATTTACTACCCCTGAAACATTTCCAAAGTCACGTGATCAAAATTTGGACCCTTGGCAACTGGCATGTACTTATAACAGTTGCAATATCCCGGGCGTCCTGTGAATCTCATTTTGCGACTTTCTGACAAGAAAAGTCAACGTGGAAGCCAGATTCACTTAACAACCCATGTTACTAACTTAACAACTGCAATGATTCGCTTAACAACCATGACCAGCAAGGTTGTAAAATGGGGGCAAAACTCACTTAACAACTGTCTGGCTGGGGCTCTATTGTTGTTGTAATTTGAGGACAACCTGGACAAGAAGTTGAAAGCAGAGTGTAAGTATTCAAGCTGATTGACGCAAAGACAGACAGAGGAAATTCATCTTTAAACATAATCCCTGAAAAAGGGTAGTCTGTAGCCAGGAGTGGCATAGTAAAAAGCTTCCTTCTATTGGGAAGAAGGATTTATTTTGTTATTTAATTGATTTATAGTTCATCCAACTCTATCCGGTTTCTGGGCAGCATAGAACATGTACATTATGTAATTTTCATACAAAGTAAACACCCCAAAGAAGGAAATCCACAGATCTAAAACTGTTGTTAGCCTAAGGTGACCAGACGTCCCGCTTTTGGCGGGACACACCCGCCTTCCAACGCATTTTCCCGCGTCCCGCCCGCCTTTTTAAAAGGCACGCTTTTTTTGGCGCTCGCAGCTCCCGCCCATCAGCTGCTAGCTTGCTGGGCTGGCTCATCGTTCTGTTCTCTAATCTCTATCCTACCAGATGAGCCAGCCCAGCAAGCTGGCAGCTGAGGGGCGGGAGCTGCGAGCTCCAAAAAAAAGCGTGCTTTTAGC